TTTTTTTTTTTTTTTTTTAATCAATAGAGTATCATTCAAGGAAGGTCGGTATTGAATTTGGCGATGATCGGTAAAGGGGTTTTTTTGCAAGTAGAAACCTTTGCTTACAAAGCTTCCTCTATGAGGAAGCCAAAACAAATAGAGGAAGCTTTGTGAGCAAAGGTTTCTACTTGCACACTTAAAAACTATGAGGAAGCAATGTGCAGGTTTCTACTTGCACACTTTACTTGTTTTAAATAATTCTTATCGCTCGAGAAAGACCCTATTCTCGATAAATTCCTGACTTTCGTGCGTTATTAATTTATTTAAAAATTATACAACATTGCCAATGCCCGGAACTCTTTAGAAATTGTTTTAGTATGCTTAGAACTGTACGAAAAATATTTTATATAAGCCAGAACTCCGAGATTTTCTACAGCGTCTCACCCACATACCCGTAAATGCGTCTTTTTTGGTCGATAAAAATTATTAAAATATGAATAAATAATGCTTATCGTCAGAACTCTTTAGAAATAAACGTTAGAACACGTTCAGAACTATACGAGAATTATAATAGAACTCACTGTTACCCATGTGTATTGTTTATTTAAGAAAGTGTTTTTATTTTTATCCAATTTCCTTCTGTTGTTGCTCGTAATTTGGCCGCTTGAACATGCATAGGTAAAATAAATTTAATAAGAGTGCAAGAAACATTATAAACTACCATTTTTTCTCAATATAGTTAATAATATAATTATTGGTATGCATTTAAATATTAAATTCAAAATTTATTATGCAAAGTAAAGGTTTTTAATGTAAGACTTTTTTAGATAGAAAAGCATAGAACGGTGATTTCTATACATTACATTTACGAATTTTAGAGTTTTTATGTTTATAAATATTTATTTAATTAATTATATTTGCAATCTTTATATATTGATAAATTTTAAATATATATACATATATATATATATATATATATATATATATATTTATTTAATTATAAATATAAAAATTAAAATTTGTATACAAGCAAATGTAACGTATATAGCGGGTATAGCGTATCGTCGATTTGTCAACTCGAGACTCGGCACTCGGCGAGACACGAGACGCGATACCCGAAATGCGTGGCATCGTGATATAGCCGGCAAGCCGGCCCGTGCAAAGCGGCAACGTCACAGCTCAAGAGAGACAGCAGATCGTATGTCTGCCCTTCTCTCCCCGCTCGAAGCTTGCCGAGGGCCTAGCGTATGTACATACACGGACAGAGGAAAAACTTGCGCGACCAGCATATATCCCCTCCATCTGAGTAGTTCGGACACGAACCATAGCATGGATACGAACCCATGTATCGTTACCCGAGTCCTCTCTGATCGTTACCGAGCGCAACGCCGTAGTTGACGTCCACTTTCTCAGAGGGCAGATTAGGACAGACGTTGTAGGGAGCAGCATACCTGTCTCCCTTCCGATTGGTCAGCCCCCTCTCCTGCGCTAGCAAGAGAGTGGAGAGTTACGAGATTGGCAGAACTGAGTCTCGACGACCGTTAGAATTATACTGACTCTCGTGGCTGTTGCGTGGTCTGCAATAAAGTATTATATTATCAGCAGTAATCGAGTGTGTAATCATTCCTCGATACCTCTCGTCAAGACGTCGGTAGTAGGCCGACACCCGGAGGCATAATCGACCTCCTGTGGTACCAAATACCTACAACGTCCCCCGAAGCCGGATGGCCGCTTTCAGGTTTCTCTCTGGTAAAACTTAATTGATTATGTTGGATTAGGTTAGGCGACAGGAGTCACGGTGGAGACCTCTGTCGGGTTGGATTAGCTGCGAGTCCGTATTTTATTTATTATAAATTTTTAACGGCCGGCCGGCCGACATATGTCAAATTACGGATTCGTTTTTCCCAAATTTTAGCCAAATTAATTAACAAATCTCATTAAACTTATGCTTGTTTTAATCAGTAAGATCAGCCGCAAGCCGGTACAGAGCCGGATTTTCCATTTTGGCTCTTAAAAAATTTATAATAAATAAAATACGGACTCGCAGCTAAGCAACCCGACAGAGGTCGGTAGTGTTACTCCTGTCGACCCTTAAAAAATATGAACTTCCAGTGGGTGCTTTCCATTTACTGACACAAGTCGACACAAACGTCGTTCTATCTTTCTTTGCATTCAGTGAGTAACAAAGACAGAACAACATTTGTGTCGACTTGTGTCAGTAAATGGAAAGCACCCAGTGCCAACTTATCTCCGGTCCTGTCGATAATCAATGTTTTGACATTCGGATTCTCCTTATCGTTCGCTAGATGTCGACGCCATCGACTGATCGTGTATGATTAATCTGTTTCTTTTAGCTGCACTGGCTGAACTGGTGCACACTAGTGCAGTAAATTGGAGTGAAATATAATATACTTGTCTCACTCCAACTTATTGCACCAGTTCAGCCCAGGGGCCGTATTCTGTTCCGCTAAAATCCGCTTACCGACAATTGTCGGTGTCATTGCGCAGGTTTTACACGATATGAAAAACCTGCGCAACGACACTTATCGAACCGACAGTTGTCGGTAGGCAGGAACGGAATACGGGCCCAGCTCAGTCAGTGCAGCTAAAAGAAACTTGCCAACATGATCGGTGCATGTGATATTTTCGCAGCCGCGAACCGGCTCTTCGCTCTTCTCTCTCTTGTCGAGTGTATCTGATTGTCCGATTCATTGAAAATCATCGAAACTGAGGGATTATGATTAATTGTGTTCGGCCCCGTCTCGTAACCTTCGACGTGACCGGTACGTTGCTGATGACCAAGCTCGAGGAGCATTACGTCGAAATCGGCTCCCAATACGGTTTACTTGTCGAGCCAAGAAAATTGGCGCGAAGCTTCAAGAACAATTTCGCGCGGCTTAGTAAGGAACACCCGATATATGGCAAGCACACCGGGTTGGGATGGAAGAACTGGTGGAGAACGATCGTATATAACGTATTTAAGGAACAGCACGCCTCTGTGTCGACGGAAACATTGGACAAAGTAATACTAATGATAAAAATTGGAGATATAAGACATAATATTATTTGTATTATGTATCTATATAAAAATAATACTTATAATTCTATTTGTATTATTTGAGTTTAATTATCTAAAAAAAAGTAAAATTATTTACTTTATATAACTAAAATATAATAGAAAGGAAACAAAACTAAGCAGGAAAGTTTATTTCAATAATAGAATTAAAACTTTATTGAAATAAACTACCCTGCTCAGTTTTATTTCTTTGCTATTATATTTATTTTCTACTGATCCATTGCTTCTATTTTATTATTGAT